CCCAGAACACTCCCGGATCTAAGATGGACCTTGTTGTAAGTATGAGGTTATTGTCCCAAGACCTCACAAACAGCCTAATAAACTGCATGAGTGTTCGTTGTAAGAGCTTCATTGCTGTCTGGAATGATTATGCAGGGTGGGAGAAGTTAAACTTCCGCTACTCAGAGGGCCCTGGAGGCCGTTCTACTAGTCCGAAGAAAAAATATTTGGACAACAGACACTTCAGATGATACGCTTAAAGTTTCTGGAAAAAAAAAAATAGTTAAAAAATTGCCAATAGATGGCGCTGGGGTCAGCACATTCCAGCAAAATATGTTCATATCACGCACAATAAAAGGAAGATATTGTTCTTGCCACAATCAGATAAGCATTGCAGAATGCCGACGTAGCCTGAGAGTGCGCTTCTTGTGAAGCTATACTACCGCAACAGTGAGAATGTTAAAGTTTTGCATGATACGAAAATGACGGTATGGTTCAGGTTCAGTTGCTTCATTCATTCTCGGCCCATATGTTTTGTACGAACGACCCTTCAATGACTTACCACCTGTTCTGTTAACGGGGAATGGTATCGTGAGATGTTACAGACCTACGTAATTCCTACTCTACAGCAACGAGTCTGCCTACAAGAAACCATATTCTGCACGATGGAGCCCAACCTCATAATGCGTGTTCAGTCCAACAAAATTGTTAAGACAGGAATTGACAGACGTACGTGTGAGCTGCCGCTTTGCAAAAACAGCTTGGCCTCCACGATCATCCGATCTCACACCTTGCGACTTCCTGTTATGGGGCTTTTTGAGAGATAACGTTTACCGGGAGCGTTTGGCTATTTTTTCAACTATTTTTATTTTATAAACCTCGAGCGCATCGTCTGAAATATCTGTTGCCCAAATATTTTTCTCTTCGGACTAGTAGAACGGCCTCCAGGGCTCTCTGAGTAGCGGAAGTTTAATTTCGCTCTAACCCTGTGTACTTCACATAAAAACTTCCACTAGTGTCATCTTAAAAATAATCTTCGGATTATCATACTTTCATGATCATCTTTATACTTCTTGATATCGACTGTTTTTAGTAAATTTTTTAAAAAATTCCGTACCAATTTTTTCAATTGAGTGGGTGAAGTAATTTTTGAAAGATTCGTGACAATGTGTTGTTTGTTTCTTAACATTTACACACCAGTATCTCAAAAATATTATTGTTCAAGGTCTAAGCCGAAGTTTCTGAAACGGCTAATATAAAATACAGTATACAAATAATCAAAGTAAAAAAGTTTTCTTATCAATCCACTTTCATTTTTTTAATTTCTTATCTACTGTAAAAATTTACATACTTTTGAATTTTCTATTCAAAGCAGCTGTCAGAGCTGGTTTGAATAATCTCTTAAAATCTTTTTTACTACATGTTTAATAATCAGATTGTTTCAGAACTTTGCTCAGTTCTACTAGAGGTATCAAATTAGATTTTGAACTAATCGGTATTTTTATCGATTTTTCAAAGTTTGAAAGATGCCAAGTACCTCCCCTAATAGTATGCGCTTATGCATTAATCTTTAGCAGAAATCATATACAAAAAAAAATCGTAATTCTTATTAATTCGTCTTTATTTGTGCCAGTGAATGTAAAAGTGGTCTAAGTCAAGAAAAAAGGTTATAACTTTTACCTCTAGCATAAATTACTTCATGTTATTGTTATTGGAAGGAGCATTTACAAATCAGAAACAATTGTACATATTTTTATTTTATTATATGTTTGATTCAAGCTCAAATGCATATTTTTAAGAGTTTCAGGATGAAAAATAGACGATTTTACATCTTTTTAAATCCTATTTCGTCATCCGACAAAATTTATTTTCCGTTAAAATTATTAAATTAAAACAATCTAAAAGATAAACAACAACGAGCTCCCCCTCCCTCTCATCGGACCCCAGTAAAATTATCAAACGTTGATCGGTCAGCGACGATTAAAAGGTTGGGCACCTGGTTTAAAAGATCCTTGTAAAAATACTTACAGATGGTAAATTGAAACAAATAAATGTCCGAATCCAATTTCCCCCAAAAAACTGGGTTTGAACCGGCCCCAACCAAGCCCGATTTCGCCCCAAAAGTTGAATGATTGTTTATGGTATTAGGTCTAGGTTTAAACATGGACAACGGTCATCACATAATACATTTCTTTCCATTTTAAATTTACAAAATTTTAAATTTGTTTTTCGGGGAATATGAAAGGATAATATTTGTTCAGTAAAACTATCCAGATCATGGTCTTATTAAGACTGAGTCGAGAATGAAACTAGGCCCCCACCATGGGTGAGGCCCTGGGCCAGGGCCCAGCTGCCCATGCCTTAAGACGTCCCTAGTTGTACATTCATCTTCAGAATCAGTATTGCTACCTACGACACTCATTTATATAGGACTCGGTAAGAAATTATTGGCTGCCACCGAACGTATCCAATCAAATATGCATTCTGGGGCCAAGGTTTCCGTTGGATAACGGCGTATTCGCACTCTCCCGTCGTTGCGATTGACCAGAAAACGTGATTCATCAGACCGGGTGACTTCCTTCCATTCTTTTGTGATCTGGCGCCGATTTTTCATGGCCCTTTACCGGCGCTGTTGGTGATGACAAGCCATCAGCACACGGTAGTGCATAGATTCACACTGAAGTGTTCGTTGCATTGTGTGTTGAGGCACTGCGTCTGGTCGTCACTGTTGCAACTGCTGGTGGTTTTTCGGTTGTGGTGAACATTGTGTAACAGTCTTAGATCTCTTATGAAATAAATGCACTGGACCCAATAAATCTCTGGTTAGCGACTTATCATTTTACCATCCATACACCACTTTCGAAAAGTACTTGCAACGGTTCATGTGAGCAGCCCACCAAACGTACCGTTTCTGAAATCGATGTTCCCAAGTACTGAGACATAACGGTTTGACCTTCATCGAAATCTGATAAATCCCATCCATTTTTTAAGAATTATTCGATTTTTACTTCCGTAAAAGCGTGTATAATTATTATTTATAGTATGTTAATTAATAACTTTTCTAATACATTGATTTTTAGAAAAAGGTTTAATCATATAAAGAACCTTTTAAATATTTTCATTAAATTTTCATAAATTTTATTTGCTGCGCTAGCCTGATTGTTAAAAGAAACGGCTGGTGATAGTTTATTGGCTAATTTCTATGGATTGAAACATAATGAGTATATTCCCATATTGAACTCAATTAAGGCTCGAAGTCCTGTAATAGCACCCCTATACTTTTGGGGAAAGGGATATTATGAGTAGAGTCTTGATTCTAAGAGACCGTCATTTGGAGAAATCTAGCTTCTATATTAAGGTATCCGAAAACGCGTTCGGAGTATTTTTTTTAAAAAACAGCGTACTAAAACATTATAAAGGCCTTTTTAGGCATCAATATCAAAAAATACTAATATTTAAATAACAATGTTTAAAAAAATATATCTAAATTTTATAAAAATAACAATTATAAATGAAATTTTAGCAATATTTTTGAAAAACTTCAAAGCAATGGGATAAAAAAGTAATACACTTATATCAGTAAAAGTATTGCTAAAACAAATGAGATGCATTTATCTAGAGCAGGGGTGTCAAACTCGCGGCCGACAACGAACATTTTTGCGGCCCGGCCTGTATATCGGCACAATAATAATATGTAATGAAACATCGAAATTTCTCCCAAAAAAGGAAAGATAGTGTCAGGACGTAAACATTACATTTTTCTTGTTCTTTTATTTATGTTTATTGTAATGAAATTATTAAAAAATAAGTTTACTTTTTTTATAAAAAATTATTTTTTTTGGGGCCCAAACCCCTTTGTTTAGCCCAAGTTATCATTTGAGTTTGACACTTTTAATCTAGAGAACGAACTAAAATTTTAACGTTTTATGAGAATTTAAAACCTTTAGAGCTCTTATCGAGTAAATATTATAAGAAATGTGACATTCTTTATAAGACCATTATTTAAATAACAGGCCATAACATACATAACTCAAAAAAAAAATAGTTATACAACAAGAAATATTTTTGTAGGAAACAACATAAATATCAAGTTCAAAAAGTTTTATTAAAATACATTTACAACATTTTGAGTTATCAGATTCTCCATGATAGGTTTTGAACAATTTAAAGGCCGAATTCTCATTGATTACAGACCCATTTCCTGTTTCCCCAATCAATTTTATAAAATTGTTTGTAACTTGACCTCTAGGTAACGTAGAAATAAAACAAAGTATGTTTTGCAAATCTAAAGATAGCTCTATTCTATAAAATAATAATAAAAAATATATTTGCTTTAACCTAATTTGCTTATTTCAATATTTTCGGATACCTTAAATGAATTTTGCCATCAAAAATCCTGGTATGAGGTCGTGGAAATGCTTAGACCTTTTGCTGATTACTCAGTTTTGTAATCTTGATTTAAAAATTCCGAGATTAATCAACAACAGCTCGTTTTATTGTTTTAATGAAATATCATTGAGAACAAATCAAAATTACTATAATGACGTGATTTCAAAAATGTCAGTGCAATGCGATAAAATTTCAATTTAAATCCTTATTATCACATGATAGTTCGTAATAAAGATAATCTTTTTTGTGTTTAATCTCTCTTTAGTATAGTATCATTGCGACATTAATTCAAATGAAATCCAGTTTGATTCATTGGATCAGAAAAATTAAATGTAAACTTTGGATTAAATTTAATAATAAATCTTTTGATTGACTTTTCAATTCGTACTATTTGTTCACTCTTTCCCTATACATGTATCTTGTTCAAATTTTTAAGCATTAACAAAATACTTTCTATTCATCCATTCAAGTTTAAATACATTTTTTAAACTTGTAGAGGATGACTATTGATGTTAATACAGTTTTTTTCAAATATCTCTCTCAATTCCGTAATTAAATTCAAAAATGAATAAATAGTAACAAACAAAAATAATAATCCAACAGCATATATAGAAAGGAAAGTCGTTCGTTTCGTCCCTGTAGCGCAATGGATAGCGCGTTGGAATACTAATCTCAAGGATCATGGGTTCGAATCCCACCTGGGATGGCCTAATTTCTAAGAATGGGATTCATTGTTTTACTATACTATTTTATTAGAATAATTAAATTTAATTAATGATTAAATAGAAGCACAAACAAAAGAAAAATAATCCAACACCCTATATAGAATGGAAAATTAAAAATTGGAAGCAAAATCGCTTTCTATTTTGTCACTTAAAATTGTGATTCTGTCATATGTACATACATATTTGTATTAAATGTAACTATTTAATAAAAAGCAAGTAAAATAAACTTTTTCTTTGTTGACCTAAGGAGAAATTGACTTAAATTTTTTCCTTCTATATTACTTGTTCATCATCTATTCAAATAATATTACTTACTATATGTTAAAGATTTCATATAAGCCTTTTCCGTATCATAATTTATTTTCTTGAAATTCCCTCTGCGTTCTCGACCTTATCAAAAATATTTTCTGAAAAAAAAAAATCACATTCAATTTTTTAGTGCTTTTACATAGAAATACATTTTATCCTGGTTATTTCGGGATGTGATATTTTTATATTTAGCCACTTAAATTAGATTTGCTAGCAAGAATATTTTCTTTCTAGAGATATTTTTTCGCTAAAGGGAAAGAAAATATCAAGGCTCTTTTATGAGACCTCGTTATTTGATATTTTGCAAAATGGCTAAAAAGTTACTAAAAGAATATTTGATGCTGTATTGGGGAATCAAAAGCCATTTGTGGAATAGAATTTTGATGCTTTTTCGAATGTATCGACATAATTTTAAGATAGCAATAAAAACATTTTGCTTAAAAAGGAATTTTAAAAAAAAGTGGACATTGTATAAAGCGGTGATTCTCAACCTCTTTTCTTTGCGGTACACTTTTAACAATTTCAAAATTTGGCGGCCCACTAACAATAAAAGTCTAAAGAATTTTAAACAATTCAAAAGAATTTTACTTACCTGAATTCTACAATGTAAAATAGTTTATGATAATAATTTTGAATGTTGAATAAAATAATATGTACGACAAAGACAGCAAAATGCTTATTCAGCAATTAATTACAAAGTAATTGTAAGATCGCATTTAATATGCGAAATTTGAGGTTGATGATTTTTGATAGTTTCGTTTGTTTGTTCGTAAAAATGATAAAGTCACTCTCATTTTGTCCTCTATATTTAAAAGTTTCAATCTTTTTTTCATTTATATTTTTTAGTGCTGAAAATCCGAATTCACACAAATAAGATGCATAAAACTGTAACAATATTTTTAAAGATTTTTTTGGATATTATGGAAAAAAACCGCCTTTAATTTTAATTCAAAATGAATTAAATCTTCTGAATGTTTTGAAATTAAATCTCGATTATTACAGAAAGAAATTAAGTCTTCCTCTTCATTCAGAGAGTTAAGGTATCCCACAACTTGCGACAACTTTTCTTTTAAAAAATGGATATATGGATAGTTTTTGTGGTTTTTAGATTTATTTAGTTCATTTTAAGAAAAAAAAAGGCTAAAACTAAGAAGCGAAAAATAAATTATCACTACTAAAATGGGAAAAAATGGGTAAAAATTGACAAAAAATTCCATAAATGAGGCCCGCTCCGTCCAAATAGTAAATGAACGAATTCTCAATTTTTCAATTTTGATGTATTACTTTGCTATTCCTTTTTAAAATGACCTTCAGGATAATAGATATTTTCATTTTTACAAAAACTAGAGCACTTTATCTTGGTTATTATACGAAATTGCTTAAAAAAACAGTGATTATATTCACATAAAGAACTGGAAATTTTGTAATAAAACAGTGATTGATAAATCTGAAGGTTAAAACACGTCTACTTTCATACAGAACATACACAAAAAAATTCAGCAAATTATTTTGAAAACTTTTTGAGCAATCAGTGTTTCCGTTTGAGCTTTTAAAAAAAACACATTTCTAGTAAAACGCATTTTAATGTTTGACGTCTTATGTAAAGTTATGGCATCTGCTTTAATAAAACACTTGTAGTTTTTGTTATAGGGAATGGAAAATAAAAAACTTGGTATTTTTATAAACTTAATAAGATGAACTATAAAATAAAATCATAAAAAGAAATGTCAATTTTTTTAAAAATCATGATTTTAGGGTATTTGAATACATTAATTCATATACAGAATTATCCGTATCACAAATGGATTACGAACCTAATCCAAATTTGGGTTTAATGAATAACTCTCTCCTCATGAGTTGTCAAATAGTCAATAACAATTTTATGAATAATTTATTTCTATAAAACGGCGGAATGATTCCATTCCAGAATTTTTTTTTCTCATTCAATCATTTTAAAAAAAATTGGCGGTATACAAAAGTTCTGCGGGACAGTGACGGAGAATCACTGATTTTGATGTTAAGAAAAATGCAAGTACTTTTTAATAGTTTTTTCATGAATAATTGAAATAATTATAATTTTTATAATATTTTATTATAAAAATAATATTTATATTTTATTATAAAAATAATATTTATAATATTTTATTAAAAATAATATTTATAATATTTTATTATAAAAATAATATTTATAATATTTTACTATGAAAATAATATTTATAATATTTTATTAAAAAAATAATATTTATAATATTTTATTATAAAAATAATATTTATAATATTATTTTTTATAATATTTTATTATGATAATATTTTTATAATATTTTATTACAATAATATTTTTATAATATTTTATTATAATAATATTTTATAATATTTTATGTAATTTTCATTAGACTGATTTTTTGGGTATACACAATTGAATATTTCTGAATTCTTCCTCTTTGATTCTATTCAATTTGCTTCGAATAAAAATAAGTAATAGTTTTTTCCACATAAGTAAATTATTTACCATCATTATATATATATATATATATATGTATATATATATATATATATATATATATATATATATATATTCAGCTGTTCTTTGATTATTCAATCTTTTTCTAGAAACTTATTTGGATAATAACTGTAATTATTTAATACACTTTTTAATATTCATGTATTAAATATAAATTTTTTAACGATTTTCTAAAAATTTTGTTCCTGTAGTATCTTTAGTTAAAATTTGTTGTAATGGGCAAAGAATATGTACATTTTGAAAAGAAAACAAATTATTTCCATTAATTTTTCAATTTTTAAAATAATATAATTCATTCAATTAATAATTTTTTTTATTTAAATTCCTTTTAACTCAAAAAATAATATTAAACAAACACTTTTGTTATTACAAGAGCTTTTATATAATAGCCAACACTATATATTATTGATCCTTATTTCATTATTAAATAACATTTTTGCATATATAAGTATCGATATAATAATATACGATTATCAATATACTTTTTATACAATGTTTAGAAAGAGCATTATGTATAGGATATTTGAATAAAACTATCTAAAAGTAAAAAACACGCTACGATCATGAAAATGCAAGAAACAAACAAAAAAATTCCCATTTATGAAACACAATGATGCTTTCTACATTAGTGAACATTTCTACATTAGTAAAAAAGTTATATTCTTGCCTACACTTGCTTCTTAGATTTTCCTTAATTTAACAAGGAAAGTTTAAAAAGAAGAAACTTACACTTATATGAAATTATTATTTGAATAATAATTAGAAGTTTTGGTATGGGAACTTTGAGCTTCACTTAAAGGCCGTACATTACCAACAAATGACAAAAAATAACGGGGTTTTTTCCCTTCCGATTTCTTGTGACTCATATAATTGGGAAGCTTGTTCCCAATTTTATGGGATCTGATAACCAATTAGTTTTCAAGACGTTTGAAGTTTTCCGAGCTTAGGTTTTAGTTACACGATTTCATTTCAAAGCCTTTTTTTATTAAAATATTTTGAAAATATATTTGAGCACAATCAACTCTTTTAGAATAAAATGTTTATTAATGTAAATTTTCATTACTAAAAACATTTCTGCTAGATTGTGTTTCCCGTTTTTTAAGTTGTCATAGTTACTGGATCTCAAGACTAATATTGGTTTTTACAAATAGTTTATAATACTTAGAAGGTTTCCCATTAATTTTTTCCTGTTGAGAAAATGCAATAACCAATAGGTTCCCAGATTGCTATAAGAAACGGTATTTCGAACAGATGGAATACTGCTGAAAATGATATATCTAAAAGCAGCCCTCAATGAATACTACAATTATACTTTAGAGTACAGGTTTTCTGTGTGTGTGTGTGAATACAATTATTGAAGATATAACTGAATATTTCCAAGGTGTGCCAAACTGCATTATAGTAAAGTACTATATTATAGTATTTTACCCCTTCCAAGCTCATTTTATTTCTGTATTATGGATAAAAAAATGTCAATTTTTTTTTATACATATTGTCAAACATACCCATTCTTTTAAACACTATATACACGATATAGCACCATTCACACACACACACACATATATACATAATTAGTAATATTATATAAGAAAAGTACAACTAATCCAGAATTTTTTGGGGGAATAAAAATTTCATTTCATTTTTCATTGCATTCATAAATTCAAGATGTCTGGTCAAGTGGAGTTTTAAAGCAAGTCATACAAATGTCCCTACTTATTCTTAGAACTTTTTCACAAAACATCTTTTCAACTAGTCAATTTTGAAATGATTATAAATGAAAAATTCACAAGACTTGGGTCCAAAACTTTTACCCTTTCAAAAATAATAATCTCAAATTAACTTTAGATTGTTAATTGTTATTGAGTCATTTCTTTTGTCCCAAGCTTTAGAAAAGATTAAGAAATAAAAATACATTTTACTGAATAAAATGCTAAAACTGAAGGGTTGGGCCGTTACAGAGAGAAACATTTTATACAAAATTTTCATTATCTGACATTCTGATCTCAACATTATCCATACAAATAAAGGAAAAGTTATATTTTTTTTGTGATTCTTCCCATATTAAATTTTGTTGTTCCCCTAATTTTATAAAATTGAAACATATAACTCCTAAAATTAATATCTTAGTTTATGTCTGAATATTTTATACAT